GCGGAGGCGGAGGCGGCGCCGCTCCGGGAGGTCCGCCCCGTCCGGGCCGAGTCCCCTCACCCCTCCCGGGCAGGGGCCCAAGCGGCTCCTTCCCTGCGCCCGGTCCGAGTGCGCGCCCCACGGCTCTGCGGCTGCGGTGAAGGTGCAGCGTGGGAAGGCGCGCAGGGCCGCTGGATGACTGTGCCGCCTGGAGTGGCCCGGGTCACAGGCGCACCCCCAGGTGGGGTGGTCCCGGGGCGCGGCCCTGCGCAGCCCTCGGCCTTCTGGGGTTGCAGAGCTTCCTTTCTTGTCTAGTTTGCCCGGAGTTAGGGGTTGAGCTGGGGCTGCTAGTGCTGGTAGCAGCGGCCCCCCCCCCCAGCTGCACGGGGCTTGCTGTGCGTCACACACCTTAGCTCCCTGGAGTGGCACCCCACCCTTAAGGACCCTGAGGCTGAGCAAGGATCAAGTCACGCGGGCCCAGGGGAGGGGAGGCTGGAGAGCCCCCAGGAGCAGATGGGGACCATCTTGTAGGAGCAAATCCCTGCGGTGAAGGTGGTGGTGTTTCCTCCTCTGTTCCTCATGTGAGTTGGAGATCCCCCTAGTTTGCCCCAAGAACTGCCAGCCGGCGGGGCAGGGAAGGAGCCAGGCCCCCCTGGTGCCTGCTTTCCTGGAAAGTGCTGGGATCTGATTAGATCCAAAGCAGAGAGTCGGTAATAGAAAAGGACTGGTCTCTCCAGTCTTACCAGCCTGGGGAATTTGGGAGCAGTTTGAGGTCAAGAAGCCCATTAAAACGTTTTAATGCCTCAGTGAGCTTTTTTCAATAAGTTTTTTTTCCCCTCATTATAATAATATTCAGCGAGACTCAGGGTGGCTGATTTAATGAATGGCATCACCACCCGGAAATGTGGACTGTTAATCTCTATCTGGAGTGTCCTTACGCGTCCTTTTCCTTGGGGGTGGCAGGAATAGAACTGAAGGCTTCGTGCTTCCCAGCCGGGTGCTGTGCCACTGAGCTGCATCTCCGGCCCCCTCAGCGGTCTTCAGGCCAGCGCTGGGATGCACTTGGATGTGTCCTTGGAATGACTGAGTATTTTGCCAGGATGGATTCCTAGAAGGCAGCCTGCTGGGGCCCGGAGCCCAGCGCCTCTTGCCAAATGCCCTCCAGAAATGCAGGCAGGCTTGGGCAGGTTTAACTTGCCGCAGGCAGCGTGCCAGGGACACTTCCTGGACTGGAAGGCAGTGGTTGGCCCTTCCTACCTGAGTTTTGCCTCCTGACACCATCTCTGACTGTCTGATGGGTAAAACCCCACTTTATTTTTACTTTACTTAACTGATGGTACTGTGGGAGACTGCATTTTATTATAGACTATTTGGAAGACTGCCTGGCAGTGTCCTTGGCCCATTTGTAATTTTTCTCTTGGGCCGTGTGTCTTTTGCTTATGGATTCCGTGCGTTGTGGGCAGTCGGGATTCCAACTCGTCTCTGCCACGTGTCCACGAGCGCTGCATTGATGGTTGCGCCTTCTTCACTCCTCTGACTTTGGGTTAGCGGTTTTGGTGGCTCCACGCAAGTTTTGCAGTCTTCACTAGTTGAATCGGTCAGATTCTGGGATGAGTTCTGGCTGCGGGGAAGGCAGACGACAGACTTCCCTGGGGCAGGATTTCATAAGCGTTGCTGATTCAGTCCCACCCTGTAGGCCAGGCTGGTGTGGAGCTTGGCTCCTGCCATCCTCCCGCCTCTGCTTCCTGAGCACAGCAGCCACAAGTTCCAGAGCACTCCACTACGTCTTATACTTCCTGACCTTCCATACTAGTTCTTTTCTCTTAGGCAGCCTCATCTGTGCCTTGTGAGGGCTGCTGGAAGGGGCACCTGGTGTGTCCAGGCTCCTGTCAGGAGAGACTCTGGCCTCCGAGTTGGAGCTCCCCTTCTCCCAAATGCAGCTCCTGGCAGAGCAGATTTGGTGTCTCCTAGGACCTGCCCAAAGGTCACCTTCCCATGGTCTTGCTATGCTCACTTGCCGCCAGGGAAGTGGGGGACCCCACCATCTCCCCACTCAGCTGACCCTCCAGGACCACTGTCTACAGCTCTGCGGTGCCCATGGGCAGGGTGAACACAGAGTCAAATGGGCCAGATATCTACCCAGGGGCCTGTAGGCCAAGCCATATGGCGCAGGCAGCCTCCAGGGAGAGAGGCCAAGGACTGGTGGAGCCCTGCTGGAAAAGCCAGAGGTTTCTGCTCGAGTAGACCTCCCTCTGCAGAGTCACGGCACACCTCCAATAAGAGAACACCTGTGAAGAAAGTTGCCTGTATCCAGGGAAGCTGGACATGTGGGGCATGTGGTACCGTTGTTGGCCAGAGAACACACGGAGCTGTATTTGAGAGGCCGCCTCTGCAGCAGCCGTTGAATGTCACATGCACATGGCATTTGAGTAGCACCCATGCATTGAGCACTGCATCCTGAAGTCGTGCTCCTGTGGCTTATCCAGGCCCTAAGAGAGTGAGGGGGGTGGGGTACCACACCCGTGAGGGTGCATTCTGGGCTGCTGCCTCTGTTCCAAAGGAGAGGGAAACCTCTCAGGTGTGGGAAGAGGCCCAGGGGTCCCGATGACCCAGAAGACCCTCCAAGGGTCCCGATGACCCAGAAGACCCTCGAGGCAGAAAGGAGGAAGTGCCACCAGGTGGGGAGGCAGGTCCAGCTGCCACTTGGGTTTGTGATTGACCCTGAGTGTGGCCACTCTGGGGTGTGATGCCTGAGGAAGGGAACAAACCTTTTCATGCCACACACATTGTTGTCATATACACAGATGACCTCAGGACACGCTTAATGGCAGCACATGAATATTCCTGCAGGCCAGCACAGCCACTTGCACACACCCTACCTGTCCTGGGGGCACAGACTGGCCTCGTACTGGGGGAACTACCATCCAATTCACCCCTTGCCCATGTGGAGGGGAGGCGGCCCCCTCCACGGGGTCAAAGGAACGCCAACCAACTGGCTTCAGTCTTTGGAAATTCTGTGAAACAACATTTAAAACCTTTCCCTCCAGAAATGACGTTGAAGGGCTTCATTCAGTTTTCTTACTGGAGTGTCAGGTTCTTAGAATTTTCCTGGCAAGACTTTTACCTAATTTACTATTCGCAACTTCAAGGGACAACTTTACTTTCAGATGATCTACTCATAAGAAACATTTTAAACTAACTCAGAAAATCAGCTCCCCGAGGCAGAATGGTTCTGGAGGCCCTGCTGCATCATCCTGGCAGGATGAGGACACATTGCTCCAGATTTATCCCCAAAAGATCGGGACACTTTCCAAGTTTGGGGTTTGAGAAGAAAATTATTCTCATTGACTTGTTGCAGAAAGCGAATCGAGTGAAGAGCCTTCTTGGGCGATGCAGAAGCAGAGGCAGATGTGACAGAGGCCAGAGGAAGTGGCCTCAGACTAAGACAGTGTCTGGGACAGGAGCCCTGTGCGGGGGAGGACCTGCTGAGTGGTCAGGGAGGTATATGAGGGCTTGTCTTCATGTCCCTTAGGAAGGACTGAGCACAGGGGGTGAGGGGCTGCTTGGGGATGCCACACAGGCCCCAGATGGGCCCTGGGGCTCTGGGAACCCTCACGAGGCAGGTGGCTAACCCTTTATGTCCTTTGCACAGTGGCCCCTGGACGGAGGTGACCCCTGCCCAGGAGGGTGTGTCTGGGGCCCACAGTGGTCCCAGCTGTGTGCCGGTGGCCAGCTGTGCCCCACAGCCACCAGGAGCCCTGGCTGCCTTTCGTTGGAGGGATCCTGGGCAGCTGCCCTGTGTCCTGCTAGGTCTCCGTTCTGAAGTAGCCACTGCGCCTTTTACTTGCGAAATGCTGCCTGGAGCGGGCTCCTTCCCTATTTTAGGAGAAGAGTTCGTTAGCTGATTAAGTCTCCCCCAGACGCTCCACCCAGACTGCCTTTAGCGCAGGAGGCTGCAGAAGATGTGTCAGCAGTTCTAAAAGCCTAAGGAACTGGAAATGGAAATTTACATGAAATCCTGAAATAGAAATTTAGCAGACAGGATGGAAACGAATGGTGGCAGATGCCACGCGAAGGAAACCAGCGCCGGCCAAACTCGCGTGCACAAGTTTCCATACTCGCCGCACACGTGTGTTGTGCAGACTCGAAAGACGCGGAAGTGCGCTTTTCTCGGATCTCAAATGATTCCCTTTGCTCAGTGGAAACGCTTCTGTTCGGTTATCCTCGGACAGGTAGAAGAAAGACTACCCCATAGTCTCCGAACGTTGGAAAGGCTGAGTGGAACGTTTTATATTTTTTGTATGAAAATCTACATTTTATGTTGTGAAGATATGAATTGGGAAGGTATATTTTTGAAGCTCCTGGAGGTTAATTGTTTCCTGTAGGGTTTGTAGCCACTGAAGGAGAACAGGGGCGTGTGGGTGCACTCTCCGCTGAGCTCGGATGCCGGGCCGACTTGATGTCCAGAGGCGCCAAGCCGAATTAGAAGGGAGGGGGCCTGCAGCACGCAGCCTGTGTGTGCGCAGGGTGGGCCCTAGTGTGGGCTCCTTGCTCAGTGTCCTAGCGGTGGCCACTGCATTGCAGTCTCTGCTCCCAGCTGAGGAG